TATTCAATCACTATCTGGCAAACCAAGAGGTGGTTAATCAAGGACAATGAACAAATTAACTACATGTACAGTCTATTAGAGTTACAAGCTTATGTTCAATCAGTATTTATCTGTCACAGCCAAGTGATTGCCTATCAAAGATGTACGACAGGTCAAACCAAGAGGTGGCCAATCAAGGACAATGGACAAATTGACTACATGTACAGGATGTACAGTCTATTAGAGTTACAAGCCTATGTTCATTCAGTGTATCTGTCACAACCAAGTGATTGCCAATCAAACATGTACAACATGTACAATCTATATATCTAATCACTATCTGGCAAACCAAGAGGTGGCTAATCAAGGACAATGGACAAATTGACTACATACAGTCTATTAGAGTTACAAGCTTATGTTCAATCTGTCACAACCAAGTGATTCCCAATCAATTCATGTACAACAGGTACAATCTATATCTAATTACTATCTGGCAAACCAAGAGGTGGCCATGCCAATCAAGGACAATGGACAATTTTCACTAAGTATTTAAGCTTTTAAGATGCCAGACTAATTTAATAACCTTAGGCTTATATTATTAGAGCAATGTCTATCAAGACAGTTTACACTGTTTACATTAAAGATATAAACTTACTTTATTTAGCTTAAGGTAAACATCTACGGTAGTTTCCCAGATAAATAATTGTTAAAAATCCATTAAAAGATGAATAAAACTTTTCTTTTCATACCTAAATATCGTTATCTGATACTCAAACGGTTTTCTCTGTGTCAAAAGAAGTCTAGAAGCACTTCAGGTTATTTTGAATTCCAGTTGCAAGAACAATGTGAGCAATGAGTCCAAAATTACCTAGGACGCCATTTTGAATGTACAAGGAACCCCAAAGCCAGGGCCCCAAAGCAGATGATATTCAAAACAAAGGAAGCCCACACTGCATTTTCAGACAAAAGGCACGAAAGGCGCCCTTCGCTTCCCTAGGCCCTTCCAGGTTTGCGTCATGTTCCCCGCTTTCTAGATTTTCCAAGAAAAACATCTGTTTCATTAAGGAAATTGATTCCAAATGACTCTGGTTTTTACAGAAGTTTTGCAGGTAAGTTTTTTCCTATGTATATTCCGTTTAGAAGTGTACAATCAATAGTGGAAATATCCCGAGGTATATAATTTATAGTACTCCCATATCTCTTTTAGGGGTAAAAATCGTAAGTCGCCACCGCCGGCCCTCTTTTAGGCGATAAAAATGAAACTTAGCTGAGGTTTTCAGCACTTGCGTTATCTTTTAGGGGTACGTGATGGATAATTTCAAGAATCAAGCTAGTGGCAATCTTGTTTTAAATGGTTTACTTTGTTTTTCAAAATCATATCTTTTAGGGCTAAAACCAAACCAGGATGACGACCAAAATTCCCTCTTTTACGGTTAAAATTCATTTTTTTCGACGATCATCCCCGCCCTTTTTATACAGGAGTACCCCACCTCCCGGGAGAAATATATTATTGTGGTCACTCAACCTATGCAAGTGATTGAGTAGCGTTTAGTAAAAAATAACAATTGGCAAATTTAGCAGTCAAACATCATAATACCTTCAAGGTATTAGTGGGCATTTCTCCAAATGGCCAAGTTATATTTATTTCAAAGTTATGGGGAGGTCGTGTATCTGATAAACTTATCACCCAAAAATCTGGACTAATTCGTCATTTGCAGTCAGGAGATAATGTCATGGCAGATAGAGGCTTTGACATTACTGACATCTTGCCAGCTGGGGTTGGCCTGAATATCCCCCCGTTTAAAGGTGCTCGTGCTCAGCTGTCTGCAGAGGAAGTAAGAGAAACTGCTCGCATAGCTGCTGTGCGGATCCATGTGGAGCGTGCAATTGGGCRAATAAAAAATTATCACATCCTTGATGGTACCCTGCCCCTCAGCTTGGCTCACCTTGCTGACCAGACATTCAGTGTATGTGCATACTTGACAAACTTTTTACCTCCTCTCCTTCCCCCAAAGGAAAAGTAAGAAATTAATTTAAGTTATTTTGTTTTATTTATTGGGTGTGTTCATTCTTAGGTCAAAACGTTTGCACTGCAATTCTTCAATGTCAAAAATGACTGTTGAGATATGTCACAGTCAATACATGTCAAAATACTTATGTATCTCTACAAAGTGGCCTTCTGCTCGTAGATTTATTGTGATGTATATGAAAAATATAGTTAAATTTCATTACATAAATTTCTCTTCACAAACTCATATAATATTAATTAGAGTGCTTGCACTATACCTGTGAAATATCATCAAAGTTGTTAGTAGCTATATAGTTGCTAGTTAGTAACTATTTTGTCACTATCACTGAACCAGAATATTGTTAAACAATACACTTGAGACACCMCATACACTAGAGACCCAATTATATTGTTATTAACAATGTACTGGTTGACCAATAGTGACTACTAGTTACTATCTAGCAACTGATGTTTCACATATATATTGCAAGCAATCTAATAGAAAGGAAAGCATTTTATTATTTAAAGTGTTTCCAACCCCCATGCTTGTA